ACCCTACTTATGTACCTTGTCACAAGGTATTATTAATAGCCAAATTATGCTACGGTCATACCCAATATATTAATTTAATTTATTAGAGAAGGAAAACTTCGTGATGAATTCTGCTCGTCGAAGGTTTTTTTTTTTATAATATCAAATGACGGGACGAACAGGTCGTGCGCCTGATCGTACGCTACTCGCCTGTCGCAGAGATCTGAGGGGCAGTGCCACTGCGGCCGTCACCCTGAGACATAAGTTGACAAGTTTCATGTGGCTGTAATTTCACCAGCACCCTTACCCTTCAAAACCGGAACGCAGTAATACTGGTATTACTACTTATGGCAATACTTCCCTGGACGAACTCTTCACTTCTACTGCTATTAAGGTTCACAACCCTTGGAAACATTTGACGTACCCAACCCGCATTGGGTCAGTGTAGAGTACAATGGCTTCCACTCTCCCTTAGAGAGGACCCGTGCCCAGCATTGGAACGTCAAAGACAAAGCCAAAATGTTATTTATTCCAAAGGTACCTAAAATGAATTTACACTTGAAAACGTCGTTTGTTACTTCCCTGAGAAGAACAAGCGATAAACTCTAGGGTTTGATATTTTCAAATAAATGCTATTATGCACTTTGAATCAAATTCATGAGCAATCTGGAACCATGTCGTCTTTCGTGTAATGGGATGTATTATATGCATGTGTGATCTGTACAAAAATATTATTTATACTCGGAGCTGTGTATGTAGACAGTTTCTAGCAATGGCAGAATAACTAATACATTTTATGTCGAGTTCTTAGGTTTTCGCGATTGTTACACATAGGAAATGAAACTATTTTTCCGGATTTAAATCGCGTATATTTGTTTTTTCACACTCACAGTCAATCGTGACCATGGGACCTGTAAAGGGCCCGAAACGTCGGTTTGTTTGAAAAACAAATATACGCGATTTAAATCCGGAAAAATAGTTTCATTTCCTATAACACATTTTATAATGAAGTAAAGGAAGTTTGCCTTCCCTTTTCTTCATCAGGGACTCTACACAGGCTCGGGTTCCACCCCCTTGTGGATATTCCACGGCTTCCCTGAACGCCATAACTTGGGTTTTTTCAAGGCGAACGTGAATAGGCATTATTTGACGTTGACCTCACTTTCCATCATCAGCATCAGATGATGTCTTTTTTATATAAAAATAAGAATTTCAATTGAATTGGGCTTCGAGTATATAACCAGACGAATTAGGTAAGCAGAAGAGGTGTGACCAAAACATTTTCAATATTTGCACATGGAGAACGCTCTCTCGCAATTTACACGGAGCGGTCGAAATTAGGCATATAGTTTAACCTACTTACAAGCTAAGAAATTAATATTCAACACTTGTTTCCATCTGGAAACAATGAAACAATGAATACCAAATTTTGCTTTGCAACGCCTCGGCGTTGGGCAAACCAGGTGGGAAGAAGAGAAAATGTTCAATATTCATTTAAGTCTTAAACTTTTCTTGCTGTACGCAGTTATAGTTTTAAGTATTATTGGTTCAACTATTAAATTTACATTGCAACGACATTGTACGTAACATAACGACCCTTATATCAATTCTGCAAAGTGCAAACTAGAAACAAAGACCGCGCGTTCGGGTCTTTTTAACCGACTTCAAAAAAGGAGGAGGTTCTCAATTCGACTGTATGTTCTTTTTTTTTGTATGCATGTTACGCGATAACTCCGGTATTTGTGAACCGATTTTCATGATTCTTTTTTCGTTGGAAAGGGGGTACTTCCATAGTGGTCCCATTTCATTTTGAAGGAAATCATCCACCTCTAAGGGTGGCTGTTCACGCATGAAGATTCATTTTTATAAGTAGCGCCTAACTTTAATTTAGGAGCAATTGCTTTTAGCAATTATTTTGTTGATTTTGCTATTTCTCCAATTCAAGGCGTTTTTCCCTCGATATACTTTGAGTAGTGTCGTAGTGAGAACCTATTTTTATTATCTCCAGTATCTAGTCCTGTATAGTGGCGAACTAGGGGATATTTCAATCAAACTTAGCAAATAGACGTAATTCCACGTACTTTTGAGGTCGGTTTTTTTTAGTACTCTGTACTGAAATTATTCTTACTCGTATCTAGTTTGTACGTTACACTAATTGACCTTTTGCTTGTGTTTTCTGCGTTACTAAATGTGTTTTCCTGTGCAATGAATAATTAAATTAATAAAATAAAGTTCATTGTGTCATGATTACAAAACTTCTCTTCAAATTCCATTCCGCAGCTATGTAAGAGCGATGCCACATGATGCGCAGCGTCGGCGTTGCGACTACAGAGCGGTGACGCTGCGTTGTACTACATAAAATCCTTTCAGACTGTTGGTTCCACTCTTAGTTCCATTAAATTAGAACTACTTGCCAGGCCTCGAAGGTAGTGACTGTGACTGTCGGAGCAAGCGGCGGTACGGTGTGACCACCGCATTGCTCGTGTGGTACGCTGTCAATCAGATCTTTGTTCTGTCAATCAAAATCAAGTTTTTTTTAGATACAATCATATCTCTACATCATTCGCCAAAAACGTCCCACTCAGTGGGCATTGAAGAGTCGTAGGGGGGCGATAAGGGCCTCAGAAGCAACTAGAGGGCATTGATGCTGTTCAGAGACTGCTACCGCATTTACAAAAAAGAAACCTGAATTATCTATATAAACTACACTATAAATATATAGTGATATTTTGTGTTAAGTTAATATAAAAATACGTGTTTCAATTATATTTTTTTGGTGGTGGACGTTGACATTTTTTTATCTTGCCTCTGTGGGCGGGTGGGCGTATATCAACGGCTTTCAAGAATTACGGTTCTCAAACTTACGACTATACAATTTCTAAAAAGCAACAGTTACCAAAGTGGAATAGGTATTTTGAAAAATATATGCTATCTCGACAACTTGTCCAGTTGGGACTAAAATAGTTTTCCAGAGAAAATATAACGATTTAATTAAGAAACTTAATGACACAGCCAATTAAGGCCACGACCTCCGCTCATCGCGATCGCCATTGCTGAGAGGAATATATATTGTTTTGCACAAACTGAAAAATTCTCATTACGTTCTATCGACTAACGATTTATTTCGCCATATGTCGAAATGAAGAATTACATTTGGTCACAACCATGTACTAATTGTTTTGTGAAAATTAATTCAAATACGACATGACGTGAATACTCCAAATATTTATTTATATGGCGAACGGCGGCAATGGAATGAGTCCCTTGCCAGCTGATATATGTATAGCTATAAACTGTAACTATATATAGCTTTAACTTGGGTGTTTTCAAGTCGAGAATGAAAAAGCACTGTTAAGTGTACATGACAGATAGATAAAGCATTTATTCAGTACATAACATCACAACATTACAAATTACAAATAATGCGCTGAAAAGGTTTCGGTTCAGCACAATGCTGCCAACTTAATAAATTTGTCGCGGTGATAATCTGCCGACACCAAAATGGTTCTGCAATCAAGCTGAACTGCTGAGTTGAAGACATGAATGTAGAGGATTTGTAGAATCTTTCGCTTTCATATCCGTGCGATGGTCTGTAGTATACATACTTACATATGTAACGTCACATTCCAGGTGGAATCAGCCAAACAACAAGTGCAGCTTTCAGACTCGTATCTGCCCGTCGCGATGCAAGTGATCGCGCATCTCGCCGACCAGATGGCATTCGAGGCTAAGGACGAGCCGGCTAAACCAACCGCAAAACCTACCATCAAACCTTCCAATGACCCAATACCAACAAAGCCACCGAGTTATCCAAAGCCAACTTACAAACCGACCAATACCTGGCCGAAGCCGACAAATAAGCCAACTAACAGTTGGACAAAGCCGACCACTCCGAAGCCGTACGTGTTTTCCGATATGATCTTCAACCCTGCTAACTCCTGGTGGATGAACTATGGTTTGCTTGTCAGGTGCTTTTTCTTCTTTTTCTTTTCTTTTTCATTGGACTGTTCCACGTAATACCTTTGCCTTTGGTATTTAAACTTCCTAACGAACTAATTCACTAAACTAAGCCTAATTGAATTATAATCGACAAATCTACTTCTGCCTTATTAAACCTATTGTACGCACTGCGTCTTATTTAAACGTTAGGTTTAACGTTCTTAATCTAACCGCTCTTTAATAAACCATTTGGATGTTTATCTTTAAGTCTAATAATGCTGGAATATTCTTCAATAATTACAGGCAAGCAACAACACCCTTCCACCGACCAGGCCTCTATGCTCCAGTAGTGCCACCAAAACCCTCCGATCGCAACCAGATACCCAAACTAGGATTTGTCCTCCTCCCATTTGACTATAACACACAGTACACCGTCATCGAGCCACAGGAGAAGCGCACTGAGGAACCATTTTTATCCATACATGAAGAAGAGGTCAAGCCTATAATGGAGCCAGCTAAAGAAGCACCTCTACTTCCTCCACACTTTGACGCTGAAGTTGACAAGATATCTCGGCGCGCCGACGATATTGACGAGGAAATAACAGACGATAATCTGCAATATTTGTCACAGAATGTAAGAGATTTGATCAAAATGGCAAATGACCCTGATGATGAGAGAGTTGTAGATGTGTGGGAAGGTGTAAGGGCCAACAACCAGGAGTTCACGCCGAAGGGAAAGCTGTCAGCTTCCAATTTGAGGCTTTTGCTGCTGTATGATCTACTAAGCCGGGAGGCGAAGAGGCAGCGGCTTTCTAATTATAGCGTGAGTTTATCATAGTTTCTAAAATGTGAAATCGGGGATCACTATCAAAAACGTGAGTTAAGACAAACTTATAACAACTCCAAGTTTTTTACAAGCAAAATTACTAAAACTGGATAGACATTCATTCGATTGTCCATTCATTGCTCTGAGAACTAAATAACAAGTTAAAGTTTTTTTTTAACTATCGACGCAGTTAAATGTTTAACTACACGGATCGTAGTTGAACTTATCGAATAAAAGTTTATATAAAAGTCGCGTCTCCCTCCGATCGATCCGCATCTCGTAGGGAAAGCAGACAAGCTATTCATCGAGATGTACAACAAAAATGTGAATAACTTATCAGGTCTGTAAGAACGTAAGCCTCCATAACGAGCCGTCCTACTCATCTCGAATTCAGCCGATTCCCGCAACCTTTAGCAGGTCGGTGGACCGCCAAGTGGGTGGTCAGCCCACGCTGCGCCTTCCGGTGCACGATCGCAACTCTTCGGCCCCATCGGCCATAAATTTTACGAGCAATACGCCCACTACCACTGAAGTTTAGTAATTCTTTGGGTTGCATTCGTAAAGTTACTCTGGTTCTTTTGCGAATCTTTTTTTATAATACCTTTAGGGCTTTAAATCACAAAGATCTTAAGGGCACTGCCACTGCGCCTGTTACTCTGAGACATAAGTTGATAAGTCCCATGTGCCTGTAATTTCACGAACACCGTTACCCTTCCAAACCGGAACGCTGGAAGTGGTGGCAGTACTTCCCTGGACGAACTCTTTCACAAGGGGCTTTGCTGCTACTACTCCTCTGACTAATTCCTCTTTCATTTATTAGACAATAAGTTAAAATATACAAGTAACCTACTAAAACTTAGAATTAAATTATATGAATAAAATTGTACAGCTAGCATAGCTATCAATGTGGAACGTAGTTACCAGACCTTGAGTTTGCCAGACAGTCTATTAATTTTCTGGATTACATTTTGTACAGACGAAGAGCGCCGGGACCCCACGGGCCAAGAGTGTCGACTCCAAAGGGTGTATATTAGCATATGAGTATCATATTATGGTATTCAAACCTTGGTACTTATTACTCTTTATTCTTTCCGCTACATTCGTTGCGGAGTCAGCCCTCTGACTAATTTGATTTTGCAGATAAACTAACATAACCCTATCCATTACTCTCAATATATCAATGCCTTGTGACGGTGAATGACTGGTGAATTTGAAGAACTTCTAACTTGTAATTTATGGAAGCTCACAATACTTCACTCTCATTCTTGTTGCTACAATTGATGGGTTAAAGACTTTCTTTTTCAAAAGCACTAGCTTGAAATAGAAAATAGGAACTTGAATGCAGAAAAGCATTATAGTTGGGTAACCTATCACAAACTCTAATTTATTTTTTCCTTAATAACGTTTGTTCGAATTTTCATTACCCAGTAAACCGAATTATAACGAAACCGTTGTTCTTTCAGGATATGTTGGATGTTTATCATAAAGACAGGATTAGGTTCGGTTAGGTTAGGTTAAGTTAGGTTTAAAAGAAAAAGCATTTTCCTCTCTCAAACAACAAACAAATTTGACGGTACTTAGAGAAAAGATCTATAAATTTAATGTGTGAAAGTCTAAAGTCCTTTATGAAAGCAAAACTGGAAACCGCATGTTACTTAATAGAGCATTAAAATTAATGGACGTCGGCGCAATTGGGCGGCAGTCTACGTAATTTATAATATGTTGAGTACGAAAAATGTTCAAAGAGAAAAATTCGCTTCAACGAATGTAGGCCGTTCGACACAAAGAAATAATTTCGTATTTACACGAAATAAAAAACAACCTACGGTATATTCGAGGAACGTTTTGGCCAATAAAAATTTTACAACCATCGCGTTAACCATTTTATTGACGCTTACAGCTATACTGTGCCTCAAATATTAATAAATTACAAAATCCATAGAGGTATATTTTGGTGATAAAGTTAAAATATATCATATACCTGAGTGATAACGTTTTATTATTGTTTGATATGTCATTCTGTCGATATCAACGGCTCATATATACGAAACTTTATCATAACTTAATTTGGACGCACTTTTGATTTTTTTACCGACTTCAAAACAGGAGGAGGTTCTCAATTCGACTGTATGTTCTTTTTTTTGTATGTATGTTACGCGATAACTCCGGTATTTGTGAACCGATTTTCATGATTCTTTTTTCGTTGGAAAGGGGGTACTTCCATAGTGGTCCCATTTCATTTTGAAGAAAATCATCCACCTCGAAGGGTGGCTGTTCACGCATGAAGATTCATTGTTATAAATAGCGCCTAACTTTAATTTAGGAGCAATTACTTTAATGGTTGATTTTGCTATTTCTCCAATTCAAGGCGTTTTTCTCTAGTTCAAAGTTTAAAGCTGTAACTATGTACAGGTGTGTCGCTGACCACCAGGCCCACGACTTGTCCGTCTCGTCACTTGATTGAACTATCCTAATTCCAAAGGAATCAAGATTGCAAAGTAAGAACAGAAGCGACATTCCTAACTTTTACTCTGTGGCCTAAAATTTGCACTGTATGTGATGACAAGGAAATCTTGTGTTCGATTCCCAATAGGAGTTTGAGAAATATACTTTTTAATACAGTTGCTCAAAACGTGATATTTTTCGTACTACAAATCGTGCCGAAAGTTAAATTTTTCGCACTAGAGCTGTTCCATTTTTTTTTTAATTTACTATTGTTTCAAGTCTTAAAGATAGAACTAAAGAGGTTGTATATTTATTGAATATTTATGTGCTTTGTGACGTAAGTCATTCGTCATTAAAACTTATATTTACTTACACCTTATTTGTTTAAATTGCATAGGTGTTTTATAAAACGGGTTCCATTTAAAAATACCAAAGTATTTTCCATAAAGATGGCTGATTGCGTATTAACAACGACCGTGAATATGACCCACGCGAGACCGCTGCGCGCCGCGCCTCTTAAATATACTGTTTTATTTTACTTTAAAAGTAGTATTTTTGCAAATGTACTAAAAAAACGTCGTTTGATACACGTGCGGATTTGTCATTTTCACTTGTCTCGAGTCTTGACCAAGAAGCCTCGAGAATCGGGAATAATGACTAACTTTCCGGACTTGTATCAAAAATAACTGTTTCGAAATTCTAGTCTGGGCATTTCTGGGTAATGACCCGGAGTGAATTATGTCGTTCTGGGGGCCTACTTCCGTTCTCCATCCAATATCCACCCGAAACAATTAATGTCAATTAAATAATACTCGACCAAATTAAAAAACGCACGATGAATAATGAACCTCTTACGTGATATTGCCTTTTCGTTTCGTCGGTTACTTATTTGACAGCAATTGTTTCAAACTGGTACTCTATTATACTACAAGGAATTCTCTAGTTTGGGACCAGGTTTTTAGGGTACTAAATAAGGGGTTATATATTGTTGTTAACAACTTACCATTGCAGAATACAATAACTTGCAATATACAAAATGCCGATTCTATACCACCCCTACGTTAACGTGTTATCTCGCCACGCCTTACATAAACCACAACTACGGAAGTGTCGACGTAAAAGTATTATCTTTATACCTTATGATTACGACTATTTATGACATAAAGCTTTACGCGTGATACAAATATTATAAAGAAAATATAAACTAAAAGATTTGTGTACAGTTTAGTTGATAAGTTAGAAAGAAAGAAGAAAGAAGAGAAAATACATTCATATTTTTTAACAACAAATAACACCACAAAACAAAATGGAAGAAAAACAAAACAATCAAAACACTCAGACGTAAAACACGATTAAATAATTACGAAGCAAAAACACAAACAAACACAAAACAAGTAAAACGATAACAAAAAACACGAAAAAAAATTAAATTTAATGAAAACACAAACTATATACACACACACAAGGTAAAGAGATACTTTGTGTGGTGCCAGCTGCGGTAATAAAAAGGTCACCAAACTCAGCATTTGCTGGAAAACGCAATGCGTTCCCAGCACACATTTTCAGCTAAGACCCAAAGTGAGGTCACGGAGGAACAACCATAAACCAGCATACTTACTTAAATATGATAATAAAATAATAGTATTTATGTCCATATTAAACAATAGTAGATATGTTGTGTATTTGTACATGTGTTGTGTATTTTTAAGTCTTAGTCCTTCCAAGTAAAGTGTATATAAGTATAGAAATACAAATAATAACTAATATATCTACATAAAGCTATATACTCGGAACAAAAAAATATAATTTTGACATATCTATAATCAATGCATAGTATAATACAAAATTACATTTACCTGAAACTTCTCAAAGATACAGAACATGCTATACAACTTCAACCATGCCCTTTCTAAACTAAGGCTCTATTTACATTGCCGCAGAACCAAAGCATAGAAAGAAGAAGAAGACAATACATTTATTTGTTATACATTTATTATAATTAAGTTTATATCAATATAAAGCATAAACTAGATACAGGTCAATAAACAGATTGCACGTCTTCCAGGGAATTCTCGCTGTCTGGAAGAATTTCGAGAATTATCGTTTTTAGTTTTTACGATACACAATTGTAATTGTTTAGTAGCAGTAGAGCTCCTTGTGAACGAGTTCATCCAGGGAAGTACTGCCACCTTACCTATCGCTTAGCGTCTTTTACCGCATGTACCATGGTGAGTGATCTGAAGAGCTGTTCAACCTCATCCCCCCTTCCCCGTTCCTGCTCAGAAGCACGCGTGCTGGCCTTCGTAGTCACCGTTTCACTACCTGCTGCATTCCATCGCGTACTAAAAGGTTTGGTGTCTCCTTTCTCTGCCGCACGGTTGACAAATGGAACTCCCTTCCGGCACATGTCTTCCCTCCCTTTATGATATGAGGTCCTTCAAACGAGGCGTGAAGAGGCATATTGTAGGCAGGCAGGGTGGAGGTGGCTAGTGCAGTGAGGGTTTCATCGCTGCACTAGGTTCCTTCGCGTTTGGATACCACTTTCCACTTAACATCAGGTGGAGTGGAGTCATTTGCCTGTCATGTATAAAAAAAAAAAAATTTCTGCCGCCAAAAAATAATGTGACCATTTCTGCGTTCCGGATTGGAAAGGTAACGGTGCTGGTGAAATTACTCCTAAGATTTTTGCGATTTAAAGCTCTGAGTGGCACTGCAAATGTTATGGACAGGCGTGTCGCTTGCCACCAGGCGCACGACTTGTTCCTTATTTGAAATTATAAAAAAATAGTTGGCATAAAGTTTACTATGTGCAATAATTTCGTTACAAAATAAATTGATCCTCATTCATCTTCTATATAAACATCCATAAGTCACATTATGAAAACTAAAACAATCAAACTTTTGTTCTTTCAGGGTTTCTCTCCCGATGTGATGAAAAACCTAGTGGAGTCGTCGTCGGGCGGTGCGCTTGCGCAACTGAGCTTTGCACTAGCCCGCATGGTGGACCGCCGGGACTGCGAGCACGAATACGCCAACAACCGGGCCAAAGAAATGGTCCAGGAGCTTGCCAAGGACGACTCCACACTCTCCAACGAACTTAGATACTTGCAACCTTTAGTTTATAAGTACTAAAGATTTATTTAAGAAGATATTTTTGCTGAATTAAGGTTTTTTGTTCTGGGACTTTGCTTTGTTAAGACTGATATTTTTATATATATATCTTTTCTACTATCATCAATCCGTTTGAGTAAAGTTTATCAACACTTATTAAGAAAAAAATTCAACTTGGTGAATCTCCAAGTACCGAAAATAGCAGACATTTTCAGGGACAAGGTTTTCGTTACTTTTGTTTCATTGATTTTTTTTATTTATTCTGTAATTCAAGTTACTTAGTTATTTTAAATACTTATAATACTTATACGTACATAATGAACGTGAACAAAACATATTGACACACTGTTAGAGCCTTTACACACGGCGTTATTTCGCTATGACACGCGATTCAAACGAGATTCTTCTTCTTATCGATGGCAAGCATTAAAGTGTATGTTGAAAGATTAGCCAATCGACATGACACAGAAAAAGTATGTTCCTTTCGTGCATCTCAACGAAAATGCGAGATTGAGTCGTAGTTAATAAACAAAATTCAGTGGCGTCCTAAATACACGCTTTCTGCTCTTATAAAATATACCGAGTCCATAGGCGGTATACGGCGGTACAGACGCGCTGTAGTCGCTCCTACGTATACGAAACCTTCGCGCGTTTTGATCAGACTCCTCAATAGTAGTACAATAAAGACGATCGAAACAAGATTGCTTACGCTGGCTTTATTACTGCTTTTGAAAAGGAAAATAGACGTCAAAATTATTTAGATAGACCCATTTATGACAGAAAGAAAACTGTATGGTTTAATGCAACGTTTTTTTTTCGAAGATTTGAAAACTTTTCTAACTGTTGTCGAATATCATAGTCGTGATTTCATGTAACGATTCAAAGCGTATAAAACGTGCTGCAGACTAGCTTGGAACGCGTTTGAATCGAACAAACGCTTTCGTGAAACGCACGTCGTTTGCGTGTCAAAATACACCCCCACGTGTGTATACGCTCCTTTATAAAGACACCGCCTCACATTGTCGCTTTAATAAGCTCTATACATACAGACACTGGTTTATTTTTAGCAAGTGTCATTTGTTTGTGATTTTCATGTCCCAGAACGCGTCAGGTGGTTCCTCGTGCTGGTTTAGCGTATGCCATGTTATTGTTAAGACGCATATAATTTACCATTTATGTAGAGTAAGACAATACAATACTCCGCCAAAGTAAGCTCGTTTCAATGTGTTTATTTACATTAACGTTCGCTTGATTAATTACTACCATTCGTGCCTTCTTTGTGGAAACACCCATTTTGATAGTTAATCAGTTTTGTTTAGGGAAAAGTGTTGCTTTAATTAAACATTATATTAAGTACATAATTGCGTACAAAAGTTTAACATAATTTCTTGAAGAAAGATCATCTATCGCCATCACCTATTACACAGCCCGTTGGGCACGAGGTGTCCTACAAGGAGAAGTTTCAAGGTCCCCCACCCGAAATTTTCTTTCATCATTAGCCAGAATTATAGCTACTTAATATTCACAAATGTACGCAAGTTATAAATCAAAGTCACACGTACATATGTACCACGCCCGCTCTCCCACAGGACTAGCACCGCTCTTATTCTGAAAACGTTGACGCAACATTCTCCGATATTGTCAAAGCAAATAGGTGACATTTCATATCCGCAGAGCACCTTGTTAGAGCGAGTGGCTTCTCGGAAACTATATCCCTAGCATACGGCTTTCACGAACAATGTCAGAGTCACGTTTCTCGTAAATATCCGTTCTTGCTACGAATTTTCCAATATTCACTGTCTAGAAACGAAGTAGATTTTTGATACTTGATTCAATCACACGTACAGGTAAATATATACGCACACACGGACCCAAATAGACACGGAAATGAGAGTCGAAAATGCACATGAAGTGAAGAGTTAATTTAATATTGGAAAAATGAGTTCCTACCTCTTTTTTAGGAGAGCTCCTTGTTAAAGAGTTCGTCCAGGGTAGTACTGCCATCTTACCTATTTCTGCTGCCGAGAAGTAATGTCAGCGTAACTGTGTTCCAGTTTTGAAAGGTAAGGGTGCTGGTGAAATTATAGGCACATGGGACTTGTCAACTTATGTCTCAGAGTGACGGGCAGTGGTGGTGCCCCTCAGATCTTTGCCATTTAAAGCTCTGAGTGGCACTGCAGCTGTTCTGAACAGGCGTGTAGTTTACCATCAGGCGCACGACTTGTTCGTCCCGTCACTTGATATTATAAAAAAGAAATTTCTTGCTAAATAACCTAGGAAATTCTTCAATACCTAAATGAGAACCAATTAAGAAAACCCGGAACCCGGGACTTTCTCATCTTCAAATATTTCGTTAACGGTACTCTGTATCATACTCAACTGCACTATCCCTAACAAATCTGCAACTTAGTTAGCCACGTTGTACATGATCAGCCGTATGTCTTAACAACTAGGTCGTTATGTTTTGTCGTGTCGCGACAAATGACGATTCTCGCCTTGTAATATACTAGCAAATGTAGCCATTTATCAAAAGTACGTGACATTTTGTACATAACATAGGATGGATTTGTTGAATAGAATGTTGAACTAATGGGTATTCACAATGTTGCGTATTCGAATTCATAAAACACGACGTATCAACATTAATCACATGTAGTCAAAGCAAGTAAAGTATAACAAGATCGCACTCAATGTGTTATATTGAAAGAAAGTAGATAAAATGTGACAGTGTCGGATTTACGCAGTCGTCCCACCCTGACTGTACCCTTATTTATTTCTATGTTTTCCTTGATACTGCGACATGAAACCCTTTGTTTGTCGGCAAAATATTTACTCGATACTATGATAGTGCCACGGGTGCCGAAAGCTACAAAAAGAATATTATTTTAGGCAACTCTTTTAGAAACGTACATGTACAGTCATAACATTATTATATTATGTATTTATTTTTATTGAATGTCATGATGTCTTTACAACCATAATGTTCATCTATTTATTAAAAATGCTCCACTGGTTTATTTTTATTTATACAAAGACGAAATGAACACAAAAAATATCCTTTTCCTCTGCCAGCTGAGCTTTTCTAACTATGTATAATGAAAAAAATAACAATTGATCATTGTGTAAAGTGTTTTTAAGAGTGTAAGTGTTCTTAAAAAATTTAAAAGTTAATAGAACCTCAAATGGTTTTGTTTGAAACTCGATCACTTTGGGAAAAAAATATGTGAAAACATAATTTCTAAAAATTTTTACCATGGAAAAAAAATTCAAACTTAACTCGAAATTTTACAAGAATACCGCTATATTTACATATACCAAAGATTTTTTAAATACCAACTGAACTAAATAAAACACGTGTAGTATACGATATATATTTTTCGAATGACTTTGATTTCATTTGTAAGCAAGCAAAAATTTGCATTCAAGCTGATGTAGTATCGATACATAATGAGAAATGAAACTATTTCTTCGGATCTAAATCGTAGAGTACGTTAGTTTCAACAAAAAAACCAAAGTTTCTGGCTTCTTACACGTCTCATACATGATCACGGACCACTGAGAATGTATTTATTAGTCAAGTTAAGTTACAAAAATAATTAATTCTAATTAAAAGGTTAATAATTAAATTTTTATTAAATTGATATTCAATTATTTTTTGTGAAATTACTCCACTAGTTTGTTATAATCTATAAATTTTTTGTTGTTTGTTATAAATTATAATAGATCTTTGCATTAATAATTATAACAAACTAGTGGAGTAATTTCACAAAAAATAATTGAATATCAATTCAATAAAAATTTAATTAATACAGTGAATAGCGACATCTCTCGCCAGGACTGGTAGCTGTAAAGGTACTAACTGGGTGATAAATCTGTAATAGATTTCTCATAGATGGCGCTACGACTAAAAAGTCGTTGAAAGACCAAGTACAAAGACACGACGCAAGCACATAGAAGAATTCGTGAGGTCCGTTGGTTCGTTCCGTGGCTTAGTTGGTATAGCGTCTGACACGGTATGCAAGAAGACGTCGGTTCTAATCCGACCGGATCGAAGGAATTTTTTCTGAGTGTTTTTTCTGAGTGTTCGATCTTTGTCTTAATAATTATAACAAACTAGTGGAGTAATTTCACAAAAAATATAGAGTGTTCGATCTTTGTATTAATAATTAAAAGATTATTTTCAATTTACCAAAAAAAAAAAAATTCTTTTTGTAGCATACAAACCGGCAAACAGACGTTGGGTCCACGTGATAGGAAGTGGTGATCGCCGACTATACATATTTATGACACTAACAGGAAGTGTCCAAACAATGCCGGTCTCAAATAAGATCTTAAGTTTGCTGTGTTTGTGTTTATGGTAACTTTGCCTACTTCTCAATACAGTATACAGCAGTATTGATTTGCGGTAGAAATTAGTGAGCACCACCAGTAAGTACTTAGGGTTCTGCATGTAGAACTCCGCCATCAGGAAAAAGTTTCTTTAACACGTTCATCGTTCATGAAATTTTGTGAGGTGACCGCTATAATATTCCGCTTAGAAACATGATAGCGACGTCCACGCGATAACGCGTGATCGCGCATTTGATCACAAGTCGCATCACGCAATGTCGCGTGATTGGCAATGAACTTTTTAAATCTTCATTTGTTTATAGAGGGTCTTACAAATGCCGCGCTCATAGTGGCTCGCTTAACCTACACATTTCTTAGTCTAATTATCTAGTTAACTAATTTATATAGCAGTTCAGCCTCTTCAGAGGTCGGAGCTGCCAGGATGCTATTAAACTTACCGAGGTCGTACTGTTAATGTTGAGATGGTGTAGCTGTTCCTCACCCTGGCTACATTCCATACGTGATACACGTCTTCCACAATCCCACATTCGTTACAAACGGGCGAAAAAATTTTCCGCATCACGAATAACTATTCAATGGAATGACGCCAGAGCGAAGACGCGAGCGATAGTCAAGTCCTGTCTGCTGGTTTCAAACAAACTGGACCACAGGGACCGAGGAAGCGTCGGCTGGATGTTTGTTCCTTATGCCTTTTGTATCTAACTTGATCTTACGTCGAAGTATTCTGACCACACATAGTGGCGGCAACGAACGTGTTAAAACATAAAGAAAAATATAAAATGCGTAATGCCAAAACTGATTCTTCGAGAATTTCTGCTAAAAGTAAACTTCCAGCAAATCATATGACGTTATTATTTCAACACAACACTGTTGGCAACAATAAATAAAAGCAAGTTAAGCAAAGCAGTTAACGTGACGGAGAATTTAGGAGACGCTTTAGGTTGCGACTTTCGAGTTAAGGCTTACTTATCTATTATAAAATAAACAAAGTAAACTTTCCAATCCCGCAAGTTGTATACGCCCTTAACCAGGATAAAAACCAGATTACGGATGAAATTAATTAAACTAATGTTATTTCATTAAATTGCGTTTGACCTGACCGAGGCCATAAATCGAGGTCGCCCTATCATTGACTTCAGTTTAATCTTAGCTTTACGCTGGATTTAAGAACAACAACACTTTGTTTGAAAGGTTATAAACTATTAAAAATAATCACGACCTTAAATCAATTCTAAGAAATTTTTAACTGCTACTAAAGATTTATTGTCAAACGATTAAACACGCCGTTGGATTAGATTATCGGGATCTTTTTAAATATCATATAATGCAACAATGTTTAAATTTTTTCTTAAAAAGTTCTGTCTAGACAGGAGCGTCGGTCGAGTGCATTTAAACTACTTTTATACAACTCAGGTCAGATCTGAAATCAATAAAACTTTATTGTCTAACAAGCTCTCGAAAATTACTTAACGTGAACAAGACGCTTTTCAGATACAAATGAAACTAACTTGAAAAATTCGAAAAACTGGCAGAAATTCGGTTAGCTCAAAGCCAATATTGAACAATTTGGGTTAATAGTTTATTTACCACAAATAGATAATCTTCTAATGTATTTACATAAGTTTATTGACTACGACGGTTTGTACTCATTGCTTTTCAAACGGTACTTAAATAATGACTGATTTTAAATTCATGGCACTCCAGAAATCAAAATGTTTCATTTGTTTTGATCTTCAGAAAAATACCTTGACATACAAAACGATATATCAAAAGACAAGAATTATTTATAAATAGTCCAGCATTATCTACAGAACATAATTAACCGAACACAAATATTAATATTATTTGCAAAGTGAACATACATAGAAAATATTCTTTTCTGTCATCAAAAACATTCAAGAAGTACTAACTGTCTTTAGAAGAATTCGAGCCAAATATAGATTCAAAAGCTCCTGATATGATCTGCCAGAAACTGGCCAACCATTCGAGGATAAAAATGAAGGGACTCTCAGCTCTAGGATCAGTATCAAAGTCGTCAAATTCAAATGGCGCATCGTCGTCATCATTATCTGGTATTTCGTTTATCGTGTTATTTGAATCTAAGTTCTCTTTCACGGGCAGATAGCTCGAGAATAACGTAATCTTTTCTGGTTTCTTATCTACTTTTTTTAATGCTTCTACGGACAATTCTTCGACGTCTCTGTCTTCCGAAATATCGTTGTCAACAGGCTCGATGGCTTTGGTGACGTCTTCAGGCATCTCATCGAGGAGTTCGATTTTCCCCCAAGGTTTCGCCTTAACTGCTGGCTGCTCTTCTGTCTTATTTCTGGTGATGCCAAGGAACCTTCAATTGCGATAAATTACGATGTTATGAACGGGTCGGTATCATAATGACTATATCTTCAAAGTGACCTGATCAGCATAAGGACTAAATCACAAAACGACCACCTCAACAGAAAGAATATAACTTACAATGACTTGGTAGCAAAACGACTAGATATCGAAATTATGAAGGTATGTGTAGTTCAAAAAGAAAGTTTACTGGGCTAGAGTTTAACTTCGGGGGGTCATTTTATAATAAAAAGCTTACTGCAACATCTTAAAGATGAGATGTACGTATGACATACTACAGAGTGTATAAGATTAGTAGAGACCGCCGCAAATAGATGCATTTATGAAGATCAGGTCACATATGATGAACAAAATTTACCTGTAAATAGGTGAAGAGATTCTCTCGGCGATGTTATTGGCGATCTGGTGGTAAACGTCAAAGCCAGTGCCGGCCGTAGTTGGCTGCGTGGTGTACACGCTCACCACCGAGTCCTCCTCCGGCAACGAGCGGCCGCATCCCGTCCTCCATGCCTGAAAACGATAATATATACTAAGCAAGCAAAGACACTCTGAAGCCGAGATTGTAAATTAACCTAACAAACAGCAAACAATAAATTAGAATCCGAATAACTATCTAATATTCCTTCCACTCTTGACATGGACACCTAGCCAGGCACAATATGAGCCCGACTCAACGAAAATGAGGAGGATTACGCCAGGATTAGGCTGGACTGCCTCGCAGTCCTCAGGCTCGATTCCCAGGCCGGGAGAAATATTTGTATGGCCTATAGTGAGTTTGGGTATAATTTGTGGTTGTCTATATGTGTGTCCATGGCACCCGCGACACAGGGTTTCCCTAGTTTTAGGCTACGTTGAGTGTTCGTTATCTTGCTATTATCTTATCTTATAGGAAAAAAGCTTTAAATAGCGTGAACACGTGGTCATACCTGAGCCTGAAACCTCCCAATTGGGAAGACGCGAACAAGGTCACCTTACACCTCATTCCGACTTGACAGAGATGCATCTGTGCTGATACCTGGATACATTTCGGCGAGGAATGCAAAGGATTTTTTAAATTTATTTCCGCCTTCCCCGTTCCTCCCTAGGTCGAGTAGAAAGTCCGAAATACTCCACCCTTATATACCCAATAACCGGGTCTTAAACTAGCGAATTCGCTATGAGTACCAGAGGAACAGAATTTACTCTGGGGCACTACCCGGAATACCCAGGTCAGAAACAATGTAAACCGTTAGCCCACCGAAGTCTTCAATCGGCATCCGAGTTTCCCAAAAATACAGTTTGTGGCTAAAGGTTAATGTGAGAAAACAGCAAAACTGCCACAAACACCGAAAGATTCATATTAATGCATTGCATTTTTAAATGGTTTCCTTAGGTCTATAGTACCGGCACGCTTTGATGGCCGTTTTGACCATTATATCTATGGTTTTGACAGATTACAATAGTGAAGTCAAATGAATGCGAGTCCTGCGAGTCGCATCTATAAGTTTTTAGTTTATATAACTAGTATTGCAAGGGATAACTGATTAAAAAGTTTTAATAAAACGACAATAAAAATGCTTACTTAGTCTAGTGTCATTTCGAAACTGTTTTGTTTTGCATTGAGTTTTGACGCGAGTTTTCCGGAGGTAGAAGTTGTGCTGGCCAGCGATCCCATAACTGACGATCGTATTAGATTTCATTAATAAAAATTTCAAAAAACAAATAAGGAGTTGTGTCGTAAAATATACAGCAACGAGCTCGTAGTTATGAATTAATACGCAACTCGATGAGTGGACCAATGTCAAAACGGCCATCATAGCTTGCCGGTACTATAGATAATATTTAAATTGGCCCTTAGACATGTAGCACCCCGTTGGGGCATCGCAAATGTAAAATAACGGTTACCACGCTGGTTTACCATGCAGAGGTCCCGGGTTCGATTCCTGGGCCGGGAAAAGGTATTTATATGGTCTACGTTTATTTGTGAGTTTGGGTATAATTTGTGGTTGTCTATGTGTGTATCCATGGCACCTGTGATACAGGGTTTCCCTAGTGCGGGGCGCTGAAAATCGAGACAAATGCGTATATTGCAACCGAACGCCCAGCGCTCACTGTCAATGTCCGCGTCTACGGGCAGACTCTCTGTCACCCAGTGCCCTAGATAACTTAATTACGAGATTCTACATAATGGCACACCACGTAAATTGACTGACGGCACTTCACTGGGGCAATGTCAGACGTGAAAATAAGCTTGCTTTTCTCCATATTGTACCGAAAGACATTTAGGTTGCCTTCCACCAGAGATGTGCGACGTAGCGATGCGGTGTGCGAGGAAAAAATCCACCAATAGAATTACTTTATTTTCCTAGCCTCGCTTAACTCAGATCTAGTGGAAAAGGGTTAGCAGAGCTAAGTATTTATACATACTATACTGCGAGGAAAGTGTGATGCGGACGAGGAATGTGTGCAAAACGGTGTAGGAAACTAGAGCTACTAAAAATATGACACTAACTGACACGAACACATCGCCGCCGTTCACCCCACCACACCGTACCTCGCCCGCGAATAGCTGAAAAGAATCCGTAACGCATCCTCGCACCGAGCCGCTGCACATCCTCTCACCACCCAGCTATCTCGAACAGCTTTGGTGGAAACATCACACCATTTCACAGCGCCGCTACACATCTTCGCATATATATATACGAACATTTCTCTACTTCTCCACTGGAAATGGTCAGTCCCACGCTATGGACTTTCAAAATGAAGCCAATATATCATGATCCCGCGCTGCACTCACACATAGCCGCGCGTCCCTCTTAGCCTCAACGTGAAATATTGGACCACATATCACGCGGGACCCGCCAAATAACCACTGGGCCAACTTGATATAAACGTAACATACAAACTTTATAAATCTTAGCCATGACGTTTGTTTCTTAGCGATATTTTCTTTCGATCAAACGGATAAACTTGACAAGTTTAATAAAACAACAAAGAAACCAAAATAGTATACGTGTAAATCTTAATCCTTGGCACCAATACCGGAATTATATACACAGAGCACGTCGCGTTGACACTTTATCCTCTATCAGTGTAAGAGCATCAACTAACAATAGCATTATTCGCCTACATGATTTGCAAGCGAAAATTGACAGCCGCTAGCATCTTTTTCTTCAAGGCACAACAATTCCGTACCTTAATGTGCTAAGTAACAATTGCGAAAATAATTTTAGTAACATTTTCGACACCTAAATCTAAAAACTAAACTGAAGCAATTAAAAATCTTTACAATATTACAATCCTATTGTCCACATTCATGTTAATGGTTCTGTGACACCAAAAGATATCTCTTAATGACACATTGTGCGCACATTGGCGATGCCCGTCTCGTGTGACTTGAATATTAGTTCCGTAATTAGTTTCAATAATCGTTGTCAAATACCACAAGATTCCATTTAAAATACATAGAGAGAGAAAGACCGTATAATATAATTGGTACGAAAAGTACAACATATAAAAATCTTACAATTAATTCAAAGGTTGAACAGACACAAAGAAAATTTCCTACGGTCCGACTTGACACGTTGGCAGCCACGTTGAGGCACTGGTTCCAATCCCGTCGGGTTCAAGGAATTTTACTCTGTCTTTACATCGGTCTTTGTATCGACAACAAAGTGTGTAAAGAATGATAATTCCAAATAATCTCCATACAAATCAGCGAGCTCTTAAATGTCAATAAAGTCACCATTTAAATACCTAGAATTCGTCGAGATCAATCCAACGAGAACAAACTCTGTGGGCATATCTTTAACAATATTGTATCCACCTTACTGCTCATTATTTACCTTAGTTACCGACTATAAAACAACAAAATTAAGTTTTTCATTTTTCAGCCATTTCATTTAGCCTACTATCCCTATTAATTTACCCTACAATGTAAACAATACGGAAAAAAACACACAGACAAAAACCGCCTTGTTTCGTCTTATTCTACGTAAAAGATTGTAATTGCTTACAGGCAGAATATTGCAAAAATAAATCGATTTTTTGCCTAGAAATATTTGGACTAATCGATTCCAGAAGTATCAATTAACGTAAGGGGCATTTTCTCGAAAATGAGTTACATAATATGTAGTTCCCGCTCCTAGATTGGTATTATTAAAATTTAGGAATGCCCAGTGTATAAAATATAGCACGTCTCTGGGAATTCCTAAATCTTTCGTTTATAATATGAAAGAAAAGGAAATTCTAAGAAACTTTGCTCTGGACACAATCAAAATTGGAGCAGACAGTAAAAAGTTATAGACAGATTTTAAAAAATAAAATCGTTTTTTGGCTCTCCTGAAAAACCGTGGTTCGTCCCTTACATTAATTGATACTTCTGGTGTCGTAATCCTGCAATACAATAAACTTTCATACAGACATCCCAACGACGTTAAAATAAAAAAACATTGAATGAAATTCACAACCTTATAAGTCAGGATAGCGGCGAATAAAAAAGAAGGCGTCGACCTCCTTTGACTGGTCAGACCTGTACAAAAATCGACAAGACAAATTTAAATCACGGCACCGTGCTGGCATTCGGTTAAGACGGTATTAACCACATTGCCATAAGCAATAATTTATGTTTTGTCAATGTCTAACTGTTTAATAGATATTATCATAATAATAAGATCTATTTCTTTCTGCGATTTTACACCTTTCTCATCCTACTTACATCGAAGAATTAACCAAGTTAAAATTACTTCATTTTATACTCTAGCCAAATTCGACGTAGAATGTTTAATAATAAAACATTGCTAGGCAACAAAAATATGATAATAAAAAATTAAAAAAATTTCAAAATGACGGCAGGTGTAGTGAACATTTTTTGTCAATACTCATTATTGAGGCCAGCTCTGCCAACGGGCTGTTCGTCTCATTCGAATTTAAATAGGTAAGTAAGTAATTGAGTTATGTAGAATTAATAGTAATACTGGCCAAATATTACAAAATTTATGACTAAAATGATTATTGCCTAGGTTTTAGATACCTATAAATTCATATTATTGCTAAATTAGGTCATAGATAGATAAACACAAATACAGGTTAGGCATTAAAAAAAATAACATGATTGTCATAGCATTGAAAGGGCACTGACTCAGCCATATGCCAAAGTTTCCTAAGGCGCTGGTTTTCAGTCAGGACTAACGAAATGGATTAAGTTATTTGTAAACAAAAATATAACGAAAATGCGTAAAGTTATACATTGAGATAATAATATACATATTAATGTGTAAATAGTGCATCAGAAATAACCTATTAATAACATAGAGCATCAAAAAGAACCTATTAATAACATAGTAATGGTAGATGAAAAGAAACAAAATGTTATTTTTCATTAATTTACTATGTATTTCGTCCAGAATCAATTTCCGATTCTGAACTTGAATGACTACTACTTGAACTCGAATGTTTGCAATCTCTCCCTTCAAATCAAAAAATCATTAGGGATGGCACAGATTTATAAATAAAAAATATTAGCATTTTTT